TACAAGTATATGAGAATTCTAATGAATGATAAGTATTCTCACCCTGGCTCCTTCAATTGTCAACAGGGGTCAGTGAAGCATTACCATAGTGTTGAAATTTACATTCTGTAATGGAATGGAATAATTAACCCCATAAAATGGAAAGAATAACAAAATATTCTCTTGTCCTAACACTTTTGCCCAATACTGTATATGTTTTAGTAAGGTTTTGTTGCGATAGGTGTTGAATTACACATCTTTCTACAGGTGTCTGGTAAAACTGTTTACTGTTCTAATAAATCGTTCATGATGTCCATAGAACCTGTCTCATTGTACAACTTACATATATAGATGTTTAGCATAACATACATTTCTCAGTTTGACAGAGCTAAGTGTATTTGTATTCCATCTTAATAATAATGATCATATTTGTTACAAAATATGTAAACATTTTTTCTGTTTTTTTTTTTACAAACAGATTTTTATATAGCATTCTTACCTAATTTTATTAAATATTCTATCTACTATATTTGGTGTTAATCCCCTTTCAACCGCTATGTGTGTAATTAACAACAACTCATTACTTAAATTTTCTTGTTTATTTTCAATAGTCTTTAAACACGAGTAGAAATACAGATTTCTATTTTTTATGACATAATTCTTGGTGTGGCGCCACCACAGCAGCTACTAAATTATTATCTATATCTTTTCTGACATCTAGAAAAAATAGATTATTTTTTTGTTGGTCAAGGTTGTGAAAAAATATGAAAGATCATTTACGTCATACTGAGGCATATACAAAAACACTTATCTTGTTCCCGCCTTCATAGAGATGGGGGCCATCTAGTGGGTATGTGTCGTATTAAACCTTTTTGAGCTTCAAGATTTATGTGCATATACAAAGCAGTTCGTCGCAAGATGAATTATTTTACCAATGACAAGAACATACTGGGTTTATGAGTTTTGTAGTGACACTGATTGAAGAAAGGATTTGTTGATAACGTGGTCAGTTATCCTCACCTATACTACATAACAGTAAATTATAATTGGATTTTTTAAATTCTTAGCTAGAACAAAACAAATCCGCCATTACGAACTAATACCAATTCCTCCTTCGGTTCATTTTTTATACAAGTTGTTGATCTGTCAAGTGATCAGCGATTGTTTGCTTACCTTATGCTCATAAATTAACATTTGGAAGAGAAGGTTTTACATCTTTACAGTTCATAACGTTCTCCTGTTGATGTTGTGGTTGCTTCATCAGGAACAAGACGACTAGCTTGCTGGTCTACAAGTTCTTCTGAACGATAATACAGTTATGGATGGAAACATCAGGTACACACACATAGGGCTAATGAAGTGCATTTCTAGCCTGCTGTACAGCAGTTGAGGCTGGAAACATCTGGTACACACACATAGGGCTAATGAAGTGCATTTCTAGCCTACTGTACAGCAGTTGAGGCTGGAAACATCTGGTACACACACATAGGGCTAATGAAGTGCATTTCTAGCCTACTGTACAGCAGTTGAGGCTGGAAACATCTGGTACACACACATAGGGCTAATGAAGTGC